GCAGGATCGCACACTGATCGTTTCCTTGATTGTCGATATGGGTTTTTCACCCGGCCCACGAGGGCGCGGTTTTCCTGTATAGTAAGTTGTTGAAGGTCCGGCAAGCCCAAGGGCACAGCGGTGTAGGAATAATAATATTACTAACATACCAGGTCACTAAGGGACTCCGGGTCATGGTTGTTTCGGTCTCTTGGCATCCCCGTCGATTTTAATCACGCGCAGCTCTTACGCAGACTTGTCGCTCCTAGCCGCCATGGTATTCAAAATGGCGACACCCCCAAGGGCGAAGGCGTTATTGCTCTAGGGGACTTGACGGACGTTGCCCTCTGCTCGAATTGTTCGCGCATCCGGGTGTTCGGCCAGGGCTGCAGCTCCTCCTTTCGCCACCTATGCCTGGGCAAGATGAAGATGAACGCGCCGAACTGCTCCTTGTGCAAGTTGATTGCTGGAGCACTCAAGCCTTCCTATCATCCGACTTATCCTCATTCCACCTTCAGGCGCGACGAGCTCCCAAACGACGAGCAGGAGGCGCGGGAACAGACTGAGGTGAACATCTTCGAGTGGCCACACCCTCAGACGGCAAACGATGCTACGTACTTGGTGGTCTATCTGTCTCACGCTGGTTGGGACTATGGCTTCTGCACCATCAGGATCTACAAGTCCAAGGGTCAGTCTTGTCCATGCCAGGGATAGTCTCCTGCTGACCATTCATACTTTGTGCAGAACAACCTCGACCGCGAGACGGGCTCACTCTCACCGAATATCAAGTACGGACACAAGAACGAAAATTTCTTCGGATGAAGCGTTGGAAGCAAGAAGACTTCCAGAAGTGGCAAAAGTCAACCGAGTCCTTTCAGCACGGCAAACAGTTCCCTCCGCGCTTGCTAGACCTCGGAGTGCAGCAGGACTTCATCGACGGCAACGACCTGAAGTTTGACCCCGACCGGTCCGTATACCTTATTGACACGGTGGATGCTCAAAAGATCCGGCTCCCCAACGGGATGGTGTGGTTCCCGTATGCCACCCTCAGCCACCGCTGGGGCCCGTCCACGGCCGCCTGCCGAACAACCACGACCAACGGGCTGGACCGAAAAAACAAGGGGATCAAGGTATCCGAACTCTGCCAGACCTTTCAGGACGCCATCATGGTCGCGCTCGAGATGGGCATGCCGTACCTGTGGATCGACAGCCTGTGCATCATCCAAGACGACGACAAGGACTGGCGCGTGCAGTCAGCCTTCATGGACGACATCTACATGAACTCGCTTCTCACCATCATGGCACATTCCTACGCAGGCGAAGACGGGGGCTCCGGCTTTCTCGCCTCCGCCTTCGCCTCCGAAGGCGCCGACCCGGTTCCCCTCGGCAGCCTCCCTTCTTCCCCCGCTTCTTCTTCTTCTTCCACCCAGCAGCAACCTGGTGATAACATGAATACCCTCCTCCTAGCCCGCCACGACCACATGTTTGAGGTATCAATCTACAACTCCCCGCTCTCCCGCCGCAGCTGGATCCTACAAGAACGCCTCCTCTCCCCCCGCATCCTCCACTTCTTCCCCTCCCAGCTCTACTACGAATCCCGCTACTTCGGCATCGTCCGCGCAGAGGACCACACCCCGGCCTTCCGCGACCCGGACCAGCTCCGTGAGGCCATCCTGCGGCCCGAAAATCAAAAGCCCGGCGCGACGCCGCTGGACTGGTTCCGCGTCGTGGAGCGATACTCGGCTTGTGAGCTGACCCAGCCGTGGGATAAATTGGTTGCCATCTCGGGGATTGCGAAGCATGTCCAGCAGGGGAGTGGGGGCGTCAGGTATCTTGCGGGATTGTGGTCGGATCGGGCGGCCAAGGGGTTGTTGTGGCTGCGGAGGGGGCCAGTTCTGAAACGGGATCCGGCTTGGGCTGGGAGGGCGCCGTCGTGGTCGTGGGCTTCTGTGGATGGGCCCGTGAGGTATCCTGGCTTGTTGCTGAAGAGGCCGTTTCGGGTGTTGCCTACTCTAGAGGTGGTCGCGAGTGAGGGGGATGAATTGGAAGAGCCGAAGCATATCCCGGGTCAGGAAGCGAATGTGACGGGGTTGCATGTCAGGGCGTATGTGCGGCGGGTGAAAGTGAGCGAGGAGTGGATGGCAATGAGGGACAGTCTGCTGCGGTACTACCCGGCGGGGTGGGACAGACAGGTGCTGGCAGATCTGGACGCGCAGGGCGTGTACCGCGAACTGCGAGACGATGATGGCCGTGTGGTAGGCTGGGCGTCGTTGGATGTGGACAAGGGCAGAGCGTGTCCGTTGGCCGGGTCGGAGTTGTACTTGGCCATCGTCGCTACTGAGGAGGCCTGGGTGTGGCCCGGCCGTTCGGGGGATGTGCTCTACTACACGCATCCTCCGACGCCAGAGTACGACGCCTTCTATGCGACGGGAAGAGTGGCTGCAACGTTTCAATCCCCGACGTTCGACTCTCCCCCTGGAGATTCAGGAGTAGAGCAGCGGAAGCTGGTTCTGATGTATTGGGCCATTCTTCTCCGCCCAGAGCAGCCATTAGAGTTGATAAGTTTAGGGGCGAAGTTCACGCGGGTAGGATTCGCGCAGGTCTTTGATAAGCGGTGGCAGAGGGCCGAGGATTTGAGCTTAGTAGAACTGGTGTAACTAATCGATCTATACCGAGGTTACCTACAAATGCTCATCGGCAGCCTGGTGTCTTCTAGTGCCGTCCCCGTCGGCCCCGGCTCGTCCGAACCCGAGGAGCTGTTCGAAGCCGAGAGCTGGGACACTGTCTCTCAGCATGCCGCAGCTGCAAGGAACGGATTGCCGCGGGGTTTAACTGCGGGGAGATCCACAGTGCCAACGGGTACTTGCCTGACCAATACCTGCAAGACACATGCAATAAACGCATAGATGACTTGGGCGGCTCCGTCGAGAACCGGGCGCGCTTTGGTATCGAGCTCACCGAGGCATCATCACACCCGCTGTTCAACTCTGCGCCTTCCCCGGGTCCTCTAACAGCCGCTTTCCCCTTGTTTATCATGCAAGGTAGTCTCAACCTGGAAGTTGACACCTGAACCACCCCGCGACCTGGTGTGGTGGGTGGACCTGGTGTGGTGGGTGGACGTGCTCGTGCTCACGACACGTCCCTTCCGTCCAACCTCATACCTAATACCTCTTAGAACTATTGACACTGCTGGTTTCAGAGGCAGAGGGTGCAGGAGAGACTTATCCTGCCAGCCTGAGCTCTGAAAGCAGTCAAGCCTGACTTCTTCCTGTTCTCCACTCGGAGCAATCGCTTTTCCTCGAGTACCAATACCATGATCCCACGCCTCCCATATCGCTCTTCCTCAGCCAATTTTACCCCAACAATACCTGCAAGCTTCACTTTCTGTCTTTTCTACTAAGACGACGCTGGCGATCACCAGACTTCTTCCTCTTTGGCGCCGGGGACCCAGCAACGGAGCTGTGCGACAGCGATTTCTCAATTACTCTGATATCGGTGCACCTCTTTCATCCTTGCGCCTGCAGTCCCAGGATTCTCTGGCTGTTCGGAAGCCTGACTGACCACAAGCTCAAAGAGCATCCTGTTCTTCTTGGTGGACAGACCGCGGATTTCTGCAAACTGCCCTGCAGCATGTCGTCCACCGACTTTATCTGCGCCAAGTGGACGCCGGACAGCACCGATTGTAAAAAAGGCCCCCAATACAGCTGCAAAAACTGCCGTATAGTGTTGGTAAGTAACCTACTTGGCTTTATTCACCATTGTTGTGTTCTGCCGACGCGCGCTGAGTCCTTCTATCGTACTGTTGTCCGGCCTGTCAAAAGTCACACTGGCCAACGCACAAGACTGATTGCAGGTCGCTCTTGGGTAAGCCAACATGGAAGCAGTATTGGTTTTGGAGAACCGAATCCCGGCCTTTATCGAAGGTGACCCGCCAGTTGTGCAGGGGAAGAAGAAGGGCCTCTGGAGCAGCATTCCGGCATTCGACATTCTCCAAATTTGCTTCCAGCGACGGAGAGAATTTCGCGGGGCCGATAAGGCTCTTGTTTGCTGGTGCGTTACTTGATATGACTCGGGTGGTTGAGAGTTGCGCCCGAAGCTGATGAAACCTGATAGTATCCGGAGACCTTGGGGACGTTGTCAAGACCATCGCGCAGCTCCCAACCTTCTACTCCGGCTCCGTTGAAATCACGTTGACCACAAGGACGCTGATCTCGTCGCACGCAACGTAACTATGCTTCTTGTTGCCCTCGTGTTGAGCAACGTCGACGAGGCGATCGAGTGCATTGTTCATCTCTGGTACTCGGCTCTCATTCGCAAGTCCGACCTTGACATTCTCCAGCAGCGGTTTCGTCCTCTCATTGAGGATATCTGCAGCAACATAAAAGAGCAAAACGGCCGGCAATCTTGAGGAAAAGGTCTGGACGTTCGGACAACGATCCCTGCAAAGTCGACCTGGGTCGGCTCTTGTCCTTCATGGAAGTTCTAGCAGGCCTCCTAGCCAAAAGAGCAAAGGAAATTCGTACGGTCGTCACCCTTGCTGACTCGAGGAAGGACTACCGTAATGGACTCCTTCTCTTCCAAACCCCTGCCCCTTGCATCGCGAAGAAACGCTTCAGGGAAGACGGCCTCCTGCTCCCGTTTGGGCACACACGCCATGACTTCAAGGAGCCCAACCCGTGAATAATAAAAAAGGGGAGCAAGCAATCCACTGAAGCTGCGATCTAACCTAAGTCTAGCACCTTCTTCTAGGGAATCGACCCTTGGCCCATGTACGACGACGTGGAACTCCTGAGTGAATGGTCTCTGAAGGGTGTTGTAGCCAGTTCGAGTGGGGCCGCAACCGCTGGTATCTACGGCAAACTGTTCTACCACTTGCACATAGTGCTCCGGGCTTCTCTGGTTCGTTTGTCCGGCATGCAGGTCGCCTTTCTACAATTCCAGATGGAAGTCTCCGATGACTGTATGGAGGTAAGCATTTGCTGACGCATACCTTGATCACGCCTCGGATCAAGAGTCCTTGACCAGTGCTGATCCGAGTCATCCGCGCAAAGGTCTCCAACCTCTCTGATCGCGGCTACCTCGAAATCCATCGCACCTGACCTTCGTGGTGTCCTTACTTCAGGAGCCCTCCGTTAACCGCACGTGACCCTCATTACCCTCTTCATGGATGCCGTCACTGAGAAGACGACTCGCGAGGGTCAAATGGCCGACATGAACCCGGATAGCCTAACGAGGAAATGGCTGCTCTTCTACCTCCCGACTGCGGCAAAGCAAACTGGCAAAAAGGATCCGGTACTCATCAAGTTGACCTATGCTCGGGATATTGTAGCGAACCATGATCACGTCTTTGATCGGTATGCAGAGACTGCCCGGGACAGAGTCGATTTTCCCTCTCATCATCATGATGATGACTGACAAACCTTTGCCAACAGATTCGCGAAGTTGTTCAAATTATCCGAGACAGCGCAGTGCTTCGGCGCGACAGAGAAGGAGAAGCATACTGTCATTGAGAATTGGCCGCTCAGAGTGAAGCTCCGACCCGGTCAGCCCGGGTCGCAAGTAGAGTTAGATCGAGTGCTGGATTCAGGAGTGTCGACCAAGGAGCGCTATGTTGAGTGGAAGAGAACTGCTAAGACGACGAGAGTGACAAATAGCCTCAATAGCGGTGGGTACGCGGGTGATCACGTTGAGGTACGACGGCGTGGCCGGTAGCCATGATATTTACTCGCTTCAGTGCATAGCAGTTAGTTGCCAAAAAGGGAGGTCAGATGCCAGGTTGGACAACCAGTCTCAAACAATGATGCCACCCTAATGCAATCCCTGAGTCCACGTGCTTCAACCTGGAATGCTCCTACAGTCGTCATAAGCACAACGTAAAGTGAGCACAACTCGCATAATTACTGTACTTTTCAGCTCGCCCTGTTCTCCACAACCGCAACAAAGCGTCCAATCACCGCCCGAGACTCTAAAAACAACTCAACCGTTTTGAAAACCAACCAACGCCCCCTCCACCTTGTCAACCTCTCTCTCACTCACCATCCAGTTTTGGTCTTTTCTTTTCTTTTCCCACCACCCCCATCCTCAACCTCCACAACCGAACTTACCGGAAATGAGCACCTTCCTCAACCTCCCGTGCCCGCCCCTCCCCCCACCGTTCGCAGCCCTCCAAGCGGCCGCCATCCGCCAAGACCCCAGCTCCGGCTACTCAGCCAACCTCCGCCCGCTCCGCAGCCGCCGCGTGCCCGCCCAAGCCTTCCAGCCAAACCCCTTGCTCATCCCAGATGATGATTCTCCCTGCCCCGCAAACGAGACCATGCTCCAGGGCTTTGAATGGTATATCCCCGCCGACGGAGTGCACTGGCGCCGGCTGGAGAAGATGATACCCGCTCTAGCACAGCTGGGCGTGACCAAGCTCTGGATTCCTCCAGCGTGTAAAGCGGCCGAGCAGAGCGGGAACGGGTATGATTTGTATGACCTGTGGGATCTGGGCGAGTTTGAGCAGAAAGGTGGGCGGGGGACCAAGTGGGGGAGTAAGGAGGAGTTGGTGAGGATGGGGGAGGTTGCGGAGCGGTGTGGGGTGCGGGTGTTGTTTGATGCTGTGCTGAATCACAAGGTTGGGGCTGAGGATTGTGAGCTGGTGCAGGCGAGGAGGGTGGAGGAGAAGGATCGGCGGAGGGAGGTGGAGGGGGGAACGGAAGGGGTGTTGATTGAGGCGTGGACAAGGTTTGAGTTTCCGGGAAGAGAGGGGAGGTATAGTGAGATGAAGTGGACGAGGGAGCATTTTACGGGGGTGGATTATGATCATCTCACGAAGCAGAGGGGGTTGTGGAGGTTTGAGGGGAAGGAGTGGGCTGAGGATGTTGATGAGGAGCTTGGGAACTATGACTTCTTGTGGGTGTTCTCATTCCAATCTCTTATTGGGTTGGTCAGGGTATTGCTAACTGGAGGTGCTTAGAATGTTTGCGGACATCGACCACAAACACCCCGAAGTCAGGGCGGATTTGTTCCGCTGGATCGAATGGCTGCCGCAGCAGATGAAGCTCGGCGGGTTGCGTCTCGATGCCGTCAAGCATTACAGCTTCAGCTTCCTGCGCGACCTGGTGACTCACATTCAGGAACGTGTGGACCCAAGTTGGTTTATGGTAGGCGAGTATTGGCGAGAGGACTCCGAGTATCTGGCCAAGTTCATCGAATTCATGGACCACCGGATTTCACTATTTGATGTGCAGCTGGTGTCGAATATCAGCAAAGTATCGAGGTTAGAGGGAAGGGGGGATTTGACAAAAGTGTTTGATGACTCCTTGACTCTGTGGAAACCAGATCACGCAGTAGTGAGTTGACCTTGCGTCACCATCTCCTAGGAGAATCAGGGGCTAATTGCACATAGACATTCGTTGCCAACCACGACACCGTAAGTCAGAGGCGCCAGCTAATCCTACTGACGGGACTGACTAATTCACTTTAGCAAGCCGGACAATCCCTCGAGGTATGACTTCAATCAGGCTAGCCAGCCATCAGAAACATCCACCACTAACGACCCATTAGACCCCCGTCGCACCCTTCTTCATCCCCCTCGCGTACGCCCTCATCCTACTCCGCGCCAACTCAGGCCTCCCGTGCGTCTTCTACGCTGACCTATTCGGCTCCATCGGCAAATACCCCGAACCCGGCTTCACCAATTTCATCCCCCCGCCTTCCGGCGGCACCGCCATTCCCAAGATGATGCTCGCCCGCAGACTGTGGGCCTACGGCTCGCAGCACGACTACTTTGACGACGCGCACTGCGTCGGCTTCACGCGTCTCGGCCATCCATCCCAGTCAGACGGCCACGGCCTGGCCGTCGTCATGACTAACGCGTGGGAGCACCGGAGCAAGACCATGTTTGTTGGTGAACGGCATGCCGGAGAGATCTGGACGGATCTGCTCCGGTGGTGCCCCGGTCAGGTCACTATTGGTGCCGATGGCTGGGGTGTGTTCCCAGTTGGTCAGCGGAGCGTGGCTGTTTGGGTGAATACCGCGGCCACGGGCAGGGAAGTGGTGGATTCGTATGTTTTGTAAGTGTCTGGCAGTAATCAAGGAGTCTGTGTTGGCTGAGAGGGCTAACGAGCTGACTGGTTGCAGTGATCATGACATCTATGGGCTTGAGGCGGCTCGAGAAGAGGAAATCGAGCCCTTTGAGCGGGCCAAGCAGCAGGTGATGTCTCCGTCGGCGTGCTAGCCGATGTGCAAAGGAGGATGCGTTCTAAATCAGACAACCCTGAAAGATTCTGGTTCCACATGGGAATCCAGAAGGTCTGGATGATTGATGATCGATACCTGAGGTAGATCTTTGCTCCCTCACTCGGGAGGATACACCACGATCTTGTCCAAATCAGCCCCCTTGTAGTCAAACCCGTTCCACAGGCCCCCCACGGTGATGGTATTCTTCTTGCCCTTGTCCAGCGTCAAAAGCAGCGGTGTGGACAAGATGATGCCCTTGTGCGTGTCCCTCTGATAGAGCGTCTCAACCTTCTCCGTCTTGCCGTTGACCACGACACTGGCAATCCGACGCAGCTGCCATGTGCCACCGATCCGGTCCGGCGTGCCGCCGGGCTGATCGCCGAAGCCCATGTCGTCCGTATTCTGGTAGTAGAACGACACCCACTGCGGCTTGCCAGCCCCCTCGATGCCCTCGAAGGTGACGGTGCTGTGGTTGCCGTAGATGCCCGTGACGATGGTGCCCTTGCTGGCGAAGTTGGCCTCCTGCTTGAACGTGTTGCCGGCCGTCTTGGCATCGGCCGCGAAATATGTCTTGCCCTTGACGGGAGCCCACTCGCCGGTCTTGACGTTCAGATCGTAGACATCGTTCCAGATTAACTCGAGCTTCTTCTTCTTGTCATCAATCTCCATGGGCAGCCAGATGTACCGGCTCTCCCAGAGTGAGTTGGAATCCCACTGGTCGCCGAGGTAAAGGTAAGTTGTCTTCTTCTTTCCTTTGATCGTCAGGGTGAAGCCGGATTGGGAGTTGAATGTCCGTGTGTTGAGCGGGGCTACCATGAACGGCTGGGACCAGGGACCCGAGAGGGAGTCGGCTCGGAAGGCCACGACGTTGTTCGGCCGGTAGCCGGTCTTGTGGCTCATCAGAGCGTAGTAGCTCTTGTCCGTCTGGACGATGGTTGGGGCCTCCAGATCGTACTTGTCGAAGCGGTGGATGACTTTGTCGAGTTCCGAAACGTCCTCGTTGAAGGATGTGAGGTACACGTCCCGGCCTTCCTTGCGGTCACCGTTCGAATACAGGGCATACGACCTTCCGTCCTTGTAGTCGGTGAAGATACCGAAATCTTGGGACCAGTTGCCCAGGGGCGCCGTGGCACTCACAAAAGTGTAGGGGCCTGAGATGTTCGGAGAACGGGCAAACCCTTGGAGGAGCCAGCCGTAGGTCGAGTTGTCCGCGTGCCACCACATCTGTACTCTCTAAGTTATTCCGTGCTTGACCTTTGACGGATCAAGGTTTATTGACTTACGTGGTACTCCTTGGAAATGTTGCTGTACACCACCTTCGGCCGCTGGATGATGTGGGAGGGTGCAATGTACGGATGGCCCTCAATAGGGGCTAAATGAGACGATTAGTAAACAAATGTGAGAGTGTGAGCCAAACTCCTGACCACTAACTTAGAGCAAGGCCATGACTCTCCCATGTTGCGAGGTCGTCCGAGCTGTAGACGGAAATGCCGCCGCCTTCGGTTTGGCCTTCGACCTTGTACTCGCCGAACAACCAGAACTTGCCCGTCTCTTTGTCAATTGTCACACATCCAGCATGGGCATTGACCAGATTACCATCCGTGTCGTGCCATCTGCCACCGGGCACGATGTACTTGGCCGCCGAGAGGCCGGAAAGCAGAACACAGGTACAGAGGCGCGACCACTGCATCATAAACTGAGGAAGGACGAGTGTGGTGATTCGAAATTGCCTGGCACCAGGGGCCGGTCGCATCAATATTATAATAACCAGACGGCTGCGGATTATACGTTAGCCATCCGATTCGCAGCGCCTTAGCTTGCTTGGAAACGCATCGCCGTCTCGGGCTGTATTGGTATCATCCAGGGTGGAGACTGTTTTGATCCGGGGCACTTTAGCCCGAGACCTTACCCTTAAGATCTTGCCCCCAGATCTCACCCCGCACATCTTGCTTCTCCCGCCCCAACTTCTCCACATACTTTCCTTGAATTATGACGCCGTAATCTGGGTTCGGGGTATTGGCATCCAGATCTCCTCCAAGATCGCCAGAGGCGCGTGGCTTGATGCAAAGTCTTGGCGAGCCGAAGCGATGAAGGACTTTGGAGGCACAAGCCCCAGATCTCTTGACTGGCGAACGAGTCCTCGGTGTGGTTCGTAACATTTAGCAACGTGGGAACCAATCAGACGGGCGCAACCTCTGTTGTCGAGTATTCTCGAAGACACTGTCATACGGCAAGGCAAGTCTGAAGAGGCTCGGCTGGAGCCCCAGGTTGAGGGCAGTGACCCCCCGGAGGGGGGGATGGAGAGTTCCCCAATTGGCGACCAGCTGCTCTTGAAACTCACGTCCTGAGGATGAAGGGAAGATAAGTACTGTACTGTACGCCTCAGACTAGCCTAGCACATGCGAAGCTCGTTTAGTGGACGGACGCAACCCGGATTCAGTCCGATTGCCTGGATCTGGAGCGCCGGTTGATCTAGTCTGTTCACCATTACCAGATACCTGTGCTAAGTAGGCCTGATGAGTGAAAGACGGCTCCGCCAAGGTAGCATCCGCATCCTGTTGTTAGATTGTTCCGGATCTACGAAAATGGACCCTGGATACCTTAAGCTTCCATCAATCAGCTTCGACGTAAACAACCGACGCCAACTTCTCGCTTCCACACACCATCCTGATCTCCACGCATTTCCTTCTCCTAGCTCAATTAGGACTCGCTACATCAGATTCTCCGCAGCAAATGTCATCACAATGTCTGCATGGGATCCACGGACGAACGGAAGTCGACGGCAAGCCTTTTATTAGTCTCCCTGATGGGCGCGACAATGGCAGTGGCATTGAGCTTGACTGCATTCCGGACTATACTCGTTAAAGGCAAGTCGACAACCTCGAGAGCGAAGAACGACTGACAGCTTACTTCCACCACCGCAAGGACACCATTCAAGCTGTTAACTCCCAGCTGCCTACTTTAATCAAAGCAACAACACGACGATGAAGTCTGAGTCGCTCTGGACGCTCTTTGCTGCACCCTTTCTAGCCGTGGCGGCGCCCTCCGAGAAGCGTACAGTGAAACCGCCTGCCTTCTTCCTCGCCGGTGATTCTACCACGGCCATCGGTGGCGGCTGGGGTGATGGATTCCTCGCCAGTCTACGGAACGGCGCCATCGGTGTGAACCAGGGCCACAACGGCACTACAACTGCTTCATTTGTCTCGTTGGGCGACTGGCAGACAGTGATGCAGCTGGTCAAGGACAACACGGCCAAGTATAGCTGCTACGTGACAATCCAATTCGGCCACAACGATCAAGTATGTACGCTCTTCTCTCGAGAGTCACACCCTGCTCAATCTTCCGCGAACTTGCTGACAATTCCATTCTCAACCCCTCTGAAGAAAGCGACTTCAAACGTCACCATCTCGCAGTACCAGACCAACCTCCAGAATCTGGCACACCAGGTCAAGTCGGCCGGCGCCACGCCCATCATTCTGACCTCGCTCACGCGGCGCAAGTTCACCAACGGCACTCTGAACGACGACCTGGCCGACGTCGCTGCGGCCGCCAAGCAGGCGGCGGCAGCCGTCGATGTCGCCCTCCTCAACCTCAATGCAGCCTCCAGGAAGTACGTCCAGGCTATCGGCCCGGAAAAGGCCGACACGTACAACCTCCTCGAGGGCGACCGCACCCACCTCAACGAACACGGCATCGCCGTCTTTGGCCGCATGGTTGCTGATCTCATTGTCGACTGGAGGCGGCCGCTGAGGTCTTACATTGCCCCTGACCCTGAGGTGTCCAGAAAGCTTGATCGGGGTATCTATGTTTGAGGCGGGAGGGGTGGCATTTGCAACTGGGTGCCTTGATGAGCCATGACTTGCTCACGAATGTTGTGTCTTGATTGTACTTACCAGACCTGTACGGAGCATTTCGAGTACATCAGCACTCTTAGGAGATCCTCGAAACTCCCATAGCAGCAGAATTCTCGTGCCAGATTTGATCTTGAATGCAATCCCAAGCGCCCTAAGTACCTTATGAAACTGGGAAGTGATCAGCCATCACCTCCACATCTATCCATATGGGTCTTATCCTCATCCACAGCACAGGTGATCTTCTTATCATTACATGTACATGCAGCCACAGCCCATCCGAAATCCAAGCAGTCCCGTGCCGTCATCACAACCCAAACAACGAAGCCACACCAACAACACCAATCAATCCCCAAATCGCCACAGCCTTCGTGCTCGCCCCGGACCCAGAGGGCCCAGAGGCAGGGGGAGCGTTGCACTGCGCCGATGGGCTCGCCGTCTTCTCCGCGCCACCGGTAATGGCCACATCAAAGCGGTAGTAGTCCGCTCCCGAGATCGTCGTCGAAAGCGAAGCAGACGTCGTCGTCTTGTCCACCGACCCGCCAATCATCGCAGTGCACACGGCTTGTGTAGTGCCCCGCAGCTGACAGGACTCTTGCAGCGTAGCCGAGACGTCCTGGCCGTTGGTCCTGACGGCCGTCGTTGAGGAGATGCGGTATGTGGAGGGTCCTGCTGTGAGGGTGACGACCTGAACGGGACGTCCAGCGCTCTCAACAACGCAAATCAACTCAAACTAACCCCTCTATTTGCGTCGATTTGCCACAGGTGCGGTGTATTTGCGTTGATTTGCGTATATTTGATTTGCGTTGTTTCAATTTGCGTATATTTGA